TGTGTGTGTGTGGCCAGCTCAGCCCACCAGGGGGCGGGCTGGCTGGCGTGTGGTGCTGGGGGATTGAACCGCGGTCACTGTCCTTTTGCTTAGCTTGGCTTGTTCTAAGTAGGTGCTTTAGACCACTGAGCCATCTCACCAGCCCCGAGACACAGCTCTTGCTGGGTAACAATTGCCCAGGCTGGGCCTGAACTTGAGATTGTCCTGTCTCAGTCTCCCTGAGGGCTGGGATCACAGAAGACAAATTAGAGTGTCGTTTCCTTTGTCCTGCTTCTGCCTGCTGTCTGCCATAGTGACATGGTTTCTTCCCGTGCCTCTCCATGTGCCCAGCTGTGAGTACCTTCCAAAAGGCTTCCTGCCAGAACACACTTCCATCCCAGCCCACCGCTGCATCTGTAACCTGGGCGCCCGAGTCCTCTCTCCTGCACCCACAGATGCTGAACTCTGCCAGGGGCCTGGGGGTGCGGGGCTGGGGGAGTCTCACCCTAGTCAGGCAGCACCAGCCAGGGCCTGCGGTCCCCTCCCAAGACCAGAGCTGTTTCTAGAACGCCTCGGCCACCTCCGCCCTCGGCATTCAGATGGGAGGCACAGGTGCTGGTCCATAGGTGAGGCAACATTTGAGCAGCCAGCTCTCTGGTCCAGGGGCCTGTGGCAGGTCCCCCATGTCCTCGGAGACCATGGCCAGCGAGCCCCGGGGGTCCCAAGTTAGGCTGCTCAGCAGCACAGAAGAGCTGAGCAGGCTGGCCTGCATCAGGAATGCAGAGGTGCCCTTGGGGACCTCAGACACAGGATCAGGGCTGCGAAATCCCCTACCTACCAAGAGGCGCAAAGAGAGAAAACAGGCGCCATTCGCCCCCCACTTCTGCCCCCTCAGGGCAGAGGAGGCTGGGCTCTCGGGGCCAAGCAGCATCCCTGGAACTGAGGCTGGCTTTTCTGGAGGCCTGCTGCCTGCTTCTGGGTGCTTGGTTACCAGGGGAAGGGTTAGAATAACAGCAGGCGCCTGTGCCAGGGGCAGGAGCCAGGCTGCACAGGGCTTCTCTGCCTGCCATCAGCGGCCTGCAGAGCTGGAGTCTGTAGAAAACAGCCCGTCTCTAAATCCCAAACCAGCACGTGTGTCATGTCCCCAAACTGAGCAGCACAGACTGCTCCGTCCGGGATGCCATGCTGTGCTGGGAACCTAAGGGCCCTCCCCACAGCCTAGTCAGGAAACAGCCATGGGGGCCGGCTCTCTGGAGAAAATGTCTCCGGACAGGTGTCTCAAGAGTGGAGGAAGCTCGGCGTTGTGGCACAGACCTGTAATCCCGGCACTCAGGAAGGTGAGGCAGGAGGATTACCGGGAGTTCAAGGCCAAACTCAACTACACAGCAAGACTGCCGAAACAGTAACAACAAAAACCAGTCAATGCTGGCCCTCCAAGTGTCTCTGCCTTCAGAAAGGAAAGAGGTCTAACCCCCTGCTTCCCGCCTGCTGCCTGGCCACTCACCACTAGGTCCCTGCAGGGCCTCGGAGGACCGTGACAAGAATCCCGAAGGCCTCAAGGCTCCTCAGTGAGGCTCAGGCTGTGTCCTGAGCAGACATCAGTGTCGCAGTAAGAGGATCCTGCCACTCTGCTTTGGCTTTGCTATTTGATGACGGAGACTGATGCACCAAAAATAAATCCCAAGTGCAAAGCTGCAGCGCTGCCAAGCATGGGGGGGAGGCTCTGGCAGAGGGCAGGAGAAGCTCGGTGGCCTGGGACCAGGAGAGACAGGATGGGGTGACGTCTCTCCCCCGCTTCCAGGACTGGAGGAAGGAGGGCTGCTTTGTAGGGAACACTCGTCACAGCACACAGCTGGCACAGGGACCTAGCTATCAGGACTCCCCAAGGACTGTATGACCTTAAATCAGGAGCCCAGCATGGTGACGCACACTTGTAACCGCAGCACTAGGACAGGCTGAAGCAGGAAGGCTGCAAGGTCAAGCCCTACCGTTTTTGGTACCGGGCATCGAATTCAGGACCTTAAGCTTCAGCCAGGCAGATTCATGCAGCTATCTCCCCAGCCCTCCAGCCCTATCTAGACAATTTAGTGATCTGCCAGTAGTAAAGCCTAACTCGAAACCATAAAAATTTACCATATTAGGAATTAAAGAGATTTTAAAAATAGTTGTCCAAAGCTGAACATTGTGGCACACACCTGTAACCCCAGCACTATGGAGAGCCTGAGGCAGGAGGATCTCCTCCAATTTGAAGCCACCTGGGCTACAGAGGAAGAAAAACAGAACAGCACAATAAAGTGCAGAGAGGAGCGAAGTCCTACAAGAAACTAACATTTTGAGTCGAGAGAAGCAGCTACCTTTCCTTGAATAAAAAACCAGCAAAAAAAAAAAAAAAAAAAAAAACCAGGCCAGCTGTCATGCTGGTGAAGCTCTTTCCGAGCACAATTCCCAGTTCCATCCCAAGGTAGGAGGGGTGGTGAAAGGTTGCGTCTTTCAGAAGAGGGGACATCACCTAAGCAGGTCACCTCGAGAGAAGCTTCTACGCGGCAAGCTTCTGTCTGAGTTACGGTAGGACGTCATCAGGTGACCTGACGTGGGAACCACGGCTGACTGTTGTGCTTCTGCACCTCTCATCCTCACAGCTGAGGCGCCTGCAGCGCTGCTGAGCAAAGCCAGGGCTCCCTGTGAGGCCCACCCCAGCCCTGGCCCCGTCCCGCTCAGTTTGCTAAACTGCAGAGGCCCTTGGCTGTCACAGACCCAGGGCACCACCGAGTGCCAGAGAATGAGCCCTTGCTGGGTGGCCTCGTTCTCCTGCAAGGCACCCTCTTCGGGTGTGTATCCAGCATGTGACCTTGTATTTAATGAACACCACACAGCCTTGGACGAAAACCACAAATCACTTTATTCAAATTAGTAACATCAAAACAGCTGGCTTATGGAGGCCACACATGTCCCAAGTGTAGCCCACCTGTGTGGTGGGAACACCTTCTTCCATGGCCGTTCTGAAGCGCTGAAGCTACAGGGAGAGGTGGAACTGAATGGTTTTACACTTCTTGTATTAGTAATATTTATGCTAAAGTAACTTGGTTGGGTTGACTTTCCAGTTCTTCAGGGTCCACCTCCAGCTCAGAGGAGGCCTGCAAACAGGAGGTCCGTTAGCATTAGCAGAGGCCGGGGCAGGAGACTTCACCCCCCTCCCCAAACACAGCTGGAAGGAGCTACCACCTGTGCTGCTAGGGACAGAGTCCAAGCAGAGACAGGGCCACCCCCAGCCGCGGCCCAGCCAGCAGGCGCACCATGTGGACAGGTCAACGTCACCCACCGTTTGCCATCCTGCACTGCCTCAGCACTTCGTTGAAACCTTCGCAGAGCTTCACATCAGGCTGGTTCTGCGCGCACTCCAGAAACTGCTTGATCTCAAAGTAGCAGGGGGCCCCGGTCTCCTGCTGCTGCAGCTGGGCCCCCTGAGGCTCCTGCAAGGGAAGCAGGGTACAGTTGGGCAGAGAGCAGCATCCAGTCTTTGTGGTTAACTGGGAACAAAAGCAGATTCCAATGCAAACCAAAGGAGGCAAACAGTCGCCCTGCATCTCGAGACATGTGGGGCTGGGCAGGAGACCAGAGACAGACGCTTGCCCAGCATGCGCAGGGGCAGGGGCAGGGGCAGGGGCTGGGTCCTAGCACCGAAAGTCAAGTAAAATAAATACAACAGAGCTGAGTACAGTGATATACACCTGCAATCCCAGCTACTTGACAAGTTGAGGCAGGAGGATCACAAGGTCAAGCCCAGCCTGAGCAATTTAGTGAGATCCTGTCTAAAAACAGAACATTCACTGAAAGTTCATGGGGGCAAAGTGAGATTATAGGAAAAAAATACACAGATGAGTTTCAAGTGCAGTAGAAATATACTGGAGGACACACTCGGGCTCCTTGAGAAAGGATACTCACTACAGCCACAGAGGGGAAGGGAAGGTTTTAGCTCAGTATCCTGGTGCAAGCCAGTACGTTCAGCTCTCTGGGAAGCTGAGGGAGGAGGACAGCCAAGTTCTAGCCCAGCCCAGTAACTTAAGATGCCTGTCTCAAAATATGAAGAAGGAGCTGGGGATGTAGCTCAGTGTCAACCTTTGGTTCAACTGTGACTTTTATTTTTTATGATAAACAGTATCTTTCTATTAGCCACGCAATAAGGACACTCACGGGATCATCTTTTTTCTCAGAAAGGCAAGTTTTACACAGAAGCCTAGTAAGTGTCTCAAGCTCAACATAACCAAAGCAAACTCCCGACCTAACCCTCCCGATACACTACATCTATAATCAAATCGCAGCTCAAACAACTCCATCCTTTTGGCTGTACAAAACACTGGACCAGGGTTTTCCGGATGAAACCTAGGACCAAGCTCCAGCCTCAGCCCTTTTTGTTTTTGAGACTGGGTCTTGCTAAGTCACTAAATCAGCCAGGCTGGGCTTGAACTTGTGATTCTCCCACCTCGGTCTCCCAGGGTGCCCCGCCACGCCCGGCTTGGGATCCTGCTCACCACTGACGGTACTGTGCACTCACAAGGCCAATTCTGACACACAGAACTTACAAACAACGACGTTTCTCCATGAAACACAGCACCAAGACAGCATTACCTGATAAGTGATGTCGGGCTTCGTGGCCTCGCAGCTGCCGCCTCCACTGAAGCCACCTGTGATGGCGTGGCCCAGCGTGTGCCCCACAGCGGAGCCCACAGCCACACCTGCTGCGGTGGTGGCCATCTGCGCCATCAGACCAGGTTGCCGGGGCGCAGCAGCAGGCGAGCCCACAGCAGAAGGTGGGGCCACCACCGGGGTCGGGGCCGTAGGGGCCGGTCTCGGTGCTGGCCGGGGCGCAGCTCGCATCTGGGGGGCCCGGCTGCGGAAGAGGAAGAACTATGATGCTCCTGATTCCTGCTCATTTTTAAAATTATACACTTAAACTCAGATTCTTTGTATTAGCAAATACACAGATGCAAAATTTTACCAAAAATAATTCATTTACACCATCTTATCTCTTCCTTTAAGGTATCTCCAAGCTGTATCTCTCACTACACAGCTCAGTCATGCAGCGAACCTGGTCTCAGCCTCCCCAGCACTGGGATTACAGGTGCTGTGCCACCATGCCTGGTCTCCTTGGCCAGCACGGTGCACCTGGGGTTTCTGGGTGGCACAGCATGCAGTGCCTGGTATCAAACCCTGGTCCTTGTGCTTGCCAGGCAGGCCCTTAAGACTGCCGAAAATCTCCCCAGCCTACTTGTTTTTTTTTGAATCAAAGTCTTGCTACACAGCCCAGGTAGGCCTTGAACTTGCAATGATCCTCTCAGTTCAGCCTCCTGAGGGAGCAAGGGGCATGCCACCAAGCCTGGATCACATTTACCACAGTATCTTTAACTACCAGTTAGCCCAATGCTTTATAAAAAATATACGCGGGCTGGGGAGATGGCTCAGTGGAATAAGTGCTGCTCTGGCGAGTGCAAGGGCCTGAGTTCAATCCCCGGTTCCACACACACACAAAAAAACCAAACAAAAAAACCCCCAAAATATTAACCAAAGGAATTCATTAGTCAAATGTTAGGCAACCACTATGTTCAAGGGTACTGAACAGGGCTAGGGAGATAGCGTGGAGGTCTAAGTGCCTGCCTGGCAAGCACAAGGACCCGGGTTCATCCCAGTACTGCATGCCACACTGGTCCCCGAAACTGGATGTGGCAGCACATGCCTATAATTCCAGGGCTGGGGAGGCTGAAACAGGAGGATCACTGTGAGTCCAAGCTGCACAGAGACCCTGTATCAAATAAAATTTATTTATTTGGTACCGGGGATTTAACTCAGGACCCTGTGTTTGTCAGGCAGGTGCTTAAGCCACTGAGCTATCTCCCTGGTCCCCTCCAAATAAATAAAATATTCAAAATATTTTTTTAAAAGAGGGGGGTGGTTAAAAGAGGGGGGTGGTACTGTGTTTCAGGGTTTTGGGGGTTCCTAAGCTACATCCCCTGCCCTTGTCAGGTAAGGCTTAAAAATATAACACAATTAGTTCAGACTCTTGGCCTTCATTCAATTGAGACAACAAATAAAAAATGTCAGCCGGGCACAGTGGCAAATGCCTGATCCCAGCTAGTGAGGAGCAGATTGCCAAGGTAAAGGTAACTTTACCAAGTCACTTAGAGATGCTCTTGCTATGCAGTTCAGACTAGTCTTGAGCTCACTTTGTAGCCCAGGATGGTCTCAAACTCGCAACGACTCTCCTGCCTCGGCCTCCAAGTGCTGAGAATTACAGGTGTGCAGTACCACCACGGGCTGGGAACATGAAATTTAAAACGGGCACGGTGGCAACATCTGTAATCCCAACACTAAGACAGGCTGTGGCAAGAGGATCAAAAATTTCGGTCCGACTCAGTCTCATAAATAATTGGGGCAGGGGATGTAGCTCAGCGGGAACTCCCAAAGCCCTGAAACACAGTAAAATGGCTCCTCCCTCCACCACATTTTACTTTTATTTTTTACATTTATTCATTTATTTAGATTGATTTAAATCGGGTCTCGCCATGTACTTCTGGCTGCCCTTGAACTCGCTGTGGTCCTCCTGCCTCAGTTTAGAGTGTTGGGATTACAAGTGTACGCCACCACTTCCAGTTCGTCACTCATTTTGATAGGTCTTCCAATTATACCTACGTCAAAAGATTGCAATTTAACGTGCTATTAAATAGCATATGACCACTGTTCCATAAAACGTCCTTTACAGCCGGGAGCGGTGGCGCACTCTGGAGGCTGAGGCAGGAAGGTCGTTGCGAGTTTAAGTCCACATAGCGACACTGCCTCAAAGCAAAAAACCAAAGCCGGGCGCGGCGGGGCGCGCCTGTAATCCCCGAGGCTGAGGCAGGAGGATCGCCTTAAATTCGAGGCCAGCCTGGGCTACGTAATGTTCTCTAAACCAGCCTCAACTGCGTAGTGCGACACTGTCTCAAAAAGCCAAAACAATAATAGCCGGTCGTGGTGGCGCATGCCAATAATCCGTGCACTCGGAGGCTGAGGCACGAGATCGCAGTGAGGTCGAGGCTAGCCTAGGCTACAACTATGAGATCTGGAGTAGCCTGAACTACATACAGCGAGACTCTTGTCTCAGAAAACCAAAACCAAAGCATAATAATGGCTGGGCATATAACTCAGTGGTGTAGCGCCTGCCCGGCAAACGTGAGGTCCGGCATTCGATTTTCAGCACCAGAAAAAAAAAAAAGAAAGAAAGAAAGAACAGCCTCCCTCGCACGCCAGGCACAAGGTTGGTACAACCCACGCCACCGTGCGCAGCGCTTCGCCCCCGCCGCTCTCTGCGCAACGACACCGCGGATTCCGGGCGCCCGGCTTCGACCCCCAGTGCCAACACAGTAACACTGTCTCACCTGGCCGGAGAGGGAACGCGGGAAGTGCGGCTTCGGCTTCCACGAGGCATCTTCACGCACCACTACTCTGCGTCCACAAACGCCAAACTCCGCCAACACTCTGGTAGCTCCAGAGCGAGGGCCGGAAGTGGGAAGGCGGGTCTTGGTGAACGACCAATCAGCGTGCAGATAGAGCTCTTCCGCCTGCCCCTACGTCTCTGCGGGTCCTGAAGGTCATTGGAAGAGCTACGCGTCAAGGACAGCGCCTCAGAGCACGAAGTGACGTCATGACCTCGGCGCCTCTGAGCGGTAGAAATCCGGAAGTTCCTGCGTTTCCCCAACAACCCTCCCCCCCAACGCCGTTAGCAGTTTGGTTTCCTAAAGCAGGAAGCCCGCTGTGTCGTTCTGGGTCTAGCCCGTCACTGAAAGACAGACGGTGACAGAAAACCAAAGGGGCAAAAATGAGCCTGTTGCTAGTTCCTTGAAATATTTGTATTAAAGTGGTATGTTAAATGCACTTACTTCAAATATTTGTATTATTGTTCTAGGTTAAATGCAACCTTGGGAGTGAGTCACATCTCAGGCCAGATTGCCAGGGCCCTTGGGGCAAGATTGGGGCAAGATACTTTATCTTCCTCATCCCAATTTTTTTTTTTTTTCAGAACCAGGGATTAGACTCAAGCCCTTGCACTTGCCAGGCAAGCGCTTAACTTTATCTTCCTCAACATTACTTATAAAGGCTGGGGATGTAGCCCAGTGCCTTTGGCGGAACAGGGATTGAACTCAGGCCCTTTTATTCCACTGAGCCATGTCCCCAGCCCCATCCCAGCCCACTTTTGGTTTTGTTTTGTCTTTGTATTTTACGGAAGGGTCTACAGGGTGTTCAGGGTCTCACTGCTGGATGGGACTCGTAGTGCTCCCCCTATTTATAGCCTCCCGAGAGCTGGGATTACAGGCGCGCACCACCCGGTCTCAATTGCAGTCTCAGCGTGCCCCAGGGGCAGGGTCGGCAGGGCAGGCCTGGGGATCGAACCCTCGGCCCCTGCACCGGCTTGCACTTAATCCGCTGAGCTATTTGGCCGGTCTCCCACCTTTGGTATATGGCTCAACTTGGAGAGTATTTCTCTTCTTGTCTGTAGATCCAGTAAGAAAAAAGTTAAATTCAGAAAATACGGGGGCCGGTGAGAAGGCTTGGTAGAATAAGCGCTTGCCTGGCAAGCGCAAGGGCCTGAGTTTCATCCCCGGTTCCGCAAAAAAAAAAAAAAAAAAATACTAACCTAGCTAT